ATTAAATAAATAAGATCTACTATATATATATATATATACTCACTTGCCGAGTTGGGTGTCACGGAAAGAGAGTGAAAATGTCTGTAGGTATATTTTCCATGTTCTGATATGAGTATTTTGTTACGCACTCGACAATCACATATACGAACCCTATATAAATATATATATGTATGTCTGTGTGTCTGTATGTATATGTATAAATATGTACATGTATACGCGTATATATATATAATTGTTTGCGGGTTGGACGTGATGAAAAGAGGGGTGTAAATGTCTAGATATATTGGTTCTGTTCTGTTACTAATGCATGCTGTTTCGCACTTAACAATCACATAAACGGAGCCTCCTTAACCTGTACCGATTATCTTGTATACGCGTATGTAGTCAGCGTACGTTCGTCATGACACGCGCACACACACCTGTATATTAGCGGTTCATTGCGGTCACACACTCGCAAATGTGTTCGCACGTCTACATCCACGTGCATGATTGCACGCATATGCAAGAACGTACAGACAGCAGCTCTCTTATCTCTATCGCCCCTGTAACCTCGGAGTGTGCTGTACTCAATTAATCTGTGCTGAAAAATATGTGCAAGCGCATATATCTACGCCCATGCTGCATATACGCTGCTGCATTCGTGCATACGCAATTACTACGTGCTACTCATGTCCCGTGTTTTAGTAGTAGTAACATATGTTTATTCCTATACCTGCATGTGTGAGAGTGTGTTTGCTCACTCCTGTATACAGCTGCGTTGGGTGTAGTGTGCGATCTTTCTGATGCTTTGAGTTGTATGTGGTATTCTGCGATCTGACATTGTTCTGTAGAGTATACAGCTAGTCACCATATCTCCATGCCCTCCCGATCCACGCGGAATACGTAAATCTACAGACTGACATGTACAAGCGTTGTCTTGCTCCTATACTATATATATATATTTATATATTATATTATAATTACATAAATATTTATATTTTATATTATAATTACATATATACATATGTATGTAAATATATGTGTGTGTATGTATGTGTATGTATGTATGTATGTGTATACATATATAAGCGTTTCTTGAGTGCGTATGGACATATGTGTTGTGATTATGTCTGTTGCTATGCGTATTTTTACCAGGAGACAGTCATATTGCCGGCTGACTAAATGTAGTACGTCCGCCCAATGCGTCCACAAACATAAATGCATGCACACAATCCTTTAGTACCACTTACATCGTCACTTATATACTCACATACTCGCAAAAAAAAAACACACACACACAGGCTTGTACTCAGCCCCGTCGTGTGGCAGCCATGTCTGTAGCCACGCGTGTGGCTCAAGAGATGGATGTAATGCTGGGTGAGGAGGTGGGCTACACCATCCGTTTTGAGGACTGCACATCCAACAAGACACGTCTGAAGTACATGACAGACGGTATGCTTCTGAGAGAGGCTATGGCCGACCCACTGCTGGAACGGTACAACTGTCTGATCCTGGATGAAGGTATGTATATATATATTTTATTATATGTGGGCATGTATAAAGACGAGCGTATATATGATTGTCTGTGTTCTGGTTCGACGTTTTTATATCCAACAAGACCCGTCTAAATATATGATAGACGGTATATTTCTCGGTGGCTATAGCCGAACCCGTGTTGGAATGACACAACTTTTTGTTCATGGACAAAGGTGTGTTTGCAACTTACGTATATTTATGTGTATATGTATGTGGATATATATGTATATGTCTACATTTTTTATAGATGTAACTGAGAATCTGTGCGTACTTGGGAGCTGATTATGCAAAGCTATCGCATGGTGGGATGATCCAATCGATGTTGTGCCAAGATTTCGCTCAGAAGCACGTTGTAGTATAGATATATGTATACGATGGGATATGCTTGTGTGCACCTGCGTGTGTGTGGGTGGGTGGGTGAGTGCCATTGCGTTTACTAGGAATCAGACTAGTCAGGTCTAGATAGTGTCTGTTACGAAAATTGCTATTTGTCAGACTATAGGAGGTAGAAATAAGAATATTCTATGTAGCAGGTTTTATGTTTTACATGCACGTAAAGGTAGAAATACTTTAAAAGAATTGGATCTTTTAGAGAATGTGGACAAAGACTTGGGGTGGAGAGGGGTGTAACTATGTCGTCCAGGACAATTTGGTGAAAAAATAGATGCTTCTGTGTATCTGCCCTCTCGTGCGAGTAATTCTTTGGTGATGTAAACAGGTGTGGGCTATTCACTCTTTCACATACATATTCATATACACATCCCCTATCACCATTTTATATCCCCACATGCCTCACAAATAGTCTGCTCTGTCTTTGTCTATAAATAGCCCACGAAAGGACTCTAGCCACAGATCTGTTGATGGGTCTGTTGAAGGAAGTTGTGGCCCAGCGACCGGATCTCAAACTCATTGTCATGAGCGCAACACTGGATGCCGCCAAATTCCAAACATACTTCCAGGTATATATATGTATATATGTATACATGTACACTTAGTAGAATGGTATATATCAATATGCTTGCATATCGATGTGTTAATTCAAGCGTTTCTAATTTTCTCTCCACATGCACAATTATACATGGCCGGTACTATGCTGTGTATTTTATTTCAACCATACAATCACATCAATGCGATATTCGTGTATACAAAAGGTAATATATATATATATATATATATATATGTGTGTATGTATATTTGTTTATGTACGTATATGTATGTATATATGATATTATTTATACAGATAGATAGATCGATAGTAAATACATAAATTCATACTCACAGTTGTAAACCGACACACAACCAACATCATGTCCCTCCAATATACCTTACGGGGTTGAACGCGTGCCGTGAAGTTCCTTTATTTCTGTTGGGCGTTCTGCTCGTGTTGTGCTCGGTTAATATCTCTATTTAGCTCGCTACTCTGCTGCACAATCTGGGACGAATCTTATAAGTGGAGATTCCAAACGTGTTGAGCGTGGGAGTGATGGTATATAATTTAGATTTCACTCACGAGATACTCTTGTATCTATCTATATTTCGAACACTTCTTCTGATGCACATTCCTGGTTTTCTCATCCCGCTAATATCCTGAACGTATCTGAACTCTAAGGAGAATGTCTGGTGTTAGAATCTGCTCATTAAGTTACTCCTGGGTTTTTCTATTTTTAGAACGCTCCTCTGATGCACATTCCCGGTCGAACCCATCCCGTGGAGATCCTGTACGTACCTGAGCCAGAGAGAGATTACTTGGCTGCGGCGGTGCGAACTGTGGTACAAATACACTTGTGCGAGGGCGAAGGAGACATCTTACTGTTCCTTACGGGTAAGTTGTATGTATATGTATATATGTATGTGTGTGTGTGTTGTGTGTGTGCGTGTGTGTGTGTGTGTGGTCGTGCTCAACTCCATGACACAAGCATATATTCACATGCTTTAGAGCGTCCGTCCATATAGTAGGCATGTCTACTTATGTACGCTCGTAGGTATATATTTGCTAACCCTTCTGTGCATATGTATATGTAGCTATGATGTGCATTTGGCTACATAATTATATATCTATCCACACACATATTTGTTTATTTATTTATTTGTATACAAATCCAACATCCTTCTAAAACGTACAGGTGAGGAAGAGATTGAAGATGCGTGCCGCAAGATCAAAGCAGAAGTGTCGGCTGCTGGGCCCGATGCTGGTGATGTTCTGGTGATCCCATTGTACTCGTCGCTGCCACCTAACATGCAGCAGAAAGTATTCGATAAGGCTCCCCCAAATAAGGTAGGTGTGCGTATATAAATATGTGTGTGTGTCTGATATTGATTTCCCAACACTCTTTGATTGACAACTGGTTTGTGAAGTGTACGAACTATTCTGCATATGCCGAGGTCTGCATGGTATTTATCCATCGAATCTGCTTCTTCTGTTTGTGTATATCTAGATGTGCGGGTTACAGATGAGTGTGTGAAACTGGGCTCACACTCGTGTACGAACATACATTGTACTATGTACAGAATGTTACGCTCCTTTCACCATAGTCTGCACACACAATATCACCATCTGGCCGACAAACACAGCTTCTCATGTCTCGTCTCCTTAATCCATACCCACCCACCCTTCAGGCCAACGGTGCAGTGAGTCGTAAGATAGTGGTGTCCACAAACATCGCTGAAACGTCCCTTACCATCGATGGAGTGGTGTTTGTCATTGATCCTGGATTTGCCAAGCAGAAGGTGTACAACCCGCGTGTGCGCGTGGAGTCGCTCTTAGTGAGTGCCATCTCCAAAGCAAGCGCTCAACAGCGTGCTGGTATGTGTGCGAATCGGTTAGTACGGTATCGTCGTCCACAGTGATGTTGTGTGCGTTGTTTTAATCTTACTATGGGGAGCTGCTACAGTGAGCTTTGTAGTGTAGTACTGTGTTACATACTTATTGGATAGATGATTGATACAAGGCTTTCTTAGGCAAAAGGTGTACAACGCGCGTGTGCGTGTAAGGTCACATTTGAATGAGTGCCACTTATTTATAAGTATATATACATACATATATATATATGTATATAGTAATGAGTATGCCTGTTCTAGGTCGTGTATACTAGAAGGTGTCCAGCTTCTGTATGCGTATAGACGCCGCTCTTAGTTCTTAGAATTCTGACTTTGGCACAACATCCAATTCCAATTCCATATCCAGGTCGTGCCGGACGTACCAAACCCGGGAAAGCCTTCCGACTGTACACCGAAAAATCCTTCAAAAATGAGCTTCAGGAACAAACCTATCCCGAAATTCTGAGGTCAAATCTGGGCAGTGTGGTGCTCCAGCTGAAGAAATTGGGTATTGATGATCTTGTCCACTTCGACTTTATGGACCCACCTGCACCCGAAACCCTCATGCGTGCTCTGGAGCTGCTTAACTACTTGGGTGCCCTGGATGACGATGGTGATTTGACCGAGATTGGCATGAAGGTGAGCCTAATTGCGTCCAAAAATAAGATTTGGTTATAATTATGTTGGAAGATTTCATGTACTTTTCGTATGCTGTTTGTGTGTCTGGGCGTATGACTCTCCATCCCCTCTATCAACTGGCGCCTTCTCTTGCTCTGCCCCATAGCTGTCGTTAGTATACCGCTCATGCTACATCGCCTGTACTAACTTTCCATAATCGACATGCATCAACCAATCCTTTCTCGTCAGATGGCGGAGTTCCCTCTAGATCCAGAGATGTCACGTATGTGCGTTGCTGCTCCGGGTCTCAAATGCTCGAACGAAATCCTGTCCATTGTTTCTCTACTGTCCGTTCCTCTGATCTTCATGCGACCCAGTGACTGCCGGAAACAGGTATGTTTGCGTGCCGTGCAGGCTTGTCTATATGTATTTCTTTGTGCGTATTGATGTTTATGTGTATGTGTATGCATGAATAAATGGCACTTGTCTGTACGTAAGTATGTGCACATATGAGCGCATAGGCTTCGGGTTGTGCTTGTATCTCTGTTTGAAAGTCCTCGTGTGTTTGTAGAAGTCTATGCTTCGGGTTGTGCTTGTATTTCTATATGAAGGTCCTCGTGTGTTTGTAGAAGTCTATGCTTCAGATTGTGCTTGTATCTCTATATGAAGGCCTCGTGTGTTTGTAAAAGTGTATGCTTCAGATTGTGCTTGTATCTCTATAGGAAAGTCCCCGTGTGTTTGTAGAAGTGTATTCATTTAATACCGAGTGTATGTGCGCCTCTACTTGTCTGGGCTATTTTTTATCCGCTTCTGTGAGAGGCTCTCCGCGTATACAACTGTTGTGATGCCTATTACGAATTCCGAGACAACTTCCAATAGATTTAAGAGTATCAACCTGTTCAAGTGTAGTTTTATTTATTATTATATACTGTACATTTAACCCGCCATCAATATTTTCTTTTCTTTTTCTTCCTCACGCCCCATAAAGGCCGATGAAGCCAAACTGCAATTCTGCCACCAAGACGGAGACCACTTGACCCTTCTGAATGCTTATCACGCGTACAAGATGCACGAGGGTGACCAGAACTGGGCTTACAACAACTT